CTTCTTTCCATATATAGCGCTATGTATGTGCGTGAAGTCCTGTACATATGAACATATACAAAAATTTATTAGAAAATACGTTGATTTACACCTTATTTTCAATACCATAATGTAAAACAAAAATGGACTTCATTTTATTGATTGACATTGCATTGCATTGCAGTGCAATAAAATGCAGTTAAATTCTTATTATGGCAAACAGTCTAAATTCTCTAGCAAACATAAAAATCCACTCATCAGTCAAAAAGGAGTGTTCATTTCTTTTGGATCTTTTGCGCATACCCAAACTAGTCATTCGATAAAAAAAAAACAGGAACACATAACTTTGCGACTTAATTACTGATTGTTAATTTTGATTCATATCAAAGAAAACAAATATTTAAGAATGTGAGAATAAAAGAAATGTTCTAAAAAAGCATAAAATGAAAAAAAAAGTGTGTGTATTCAATCAGTTTTTAAACTCAATTAAGAAAAAAAATTGACTAAGTTAATTTTGATTGCACAATTTGGCAGGCATCACAATGTATTGCATCATATTGCAGCAGCGTGCAGTATGGTGCAATTCTACTTGTATTTAAACAAGCACAATTATTTTACTTGTCAATGTATTAGAAATATTCCCCACCATCCATCCTCCAAATACAGCTTTTATATACAATTTGTCCTTGTGATTGAATGTTTCTTTGGAAATTTGCATAATGTAAGTTTTGTTTCAAAGTTCGATAACTCAAATTATGTCCCTTTGAACAACGTAGACAAAACGATCATTAATTTCTGCTTTATCTTATGTAAATGTTTAAGCAATGCTAACGAGTAACAGGCTTGTATACTATATATAAGACGTTAGGCAGACGTTCACAAATGACCATGTGTTAAAGTCTGAGTAAATAACGGTAATGTCGCGTGTACAGGACTTAGTGTGAGCTTATCTCACTAAACAAGTACTGCTAAGCAGTATTGAAAAGCGTCTTTGATTGTTCTACACAGTCATCGGCGCTTTGTTTGAGTCTCAAAATATTCACTCATCGGTCAACAGGAAAGTTTATATTTTTTCACTGTTTTGCCTAATAATAAAAATTGACCAAGTATGTTTTAATTAGACAGTACATCAAGCATTACAATGCAATGTATTGTAGGACAGTTATATTTTTATTTAAAAGCAAAATGAATGTAGGACAGTTATATTTTTATTTAAAAGCAAAATGAATTAGCTTGCAATTAAAGAACTTCACTCGACACTCCAATTTTCCTCGGGATGTTTCGCATATATCCATATCAGTCTTTCAATTAAAAAAAATCAGCAAAAGTAACTGTTCTTTGATGAGAACTTAGCTCTAAGTACTGTTATCAGAATATATTCTGTTTATCCTTCCTGGTGCTTATCTACATTATACTCTCAAAATTTACACTCATCAGTCAAACATGAAATTTCTCTCATTTTCAATCTTTCATATACCCAAACTAGGCGTTGCATAAAATAATAAACAGCAATGATTGTCCAAAAATCCTTCGACATTATTACTGCATTGTTAATTTAGATTCAAATGAAGGAGAAGAATCATATAAGAAAATGGGGAGAAAAAATTCCATCCAGTCCTTTTTTCAAAACTTTTTTAAAAATAAAAAAAATTATTAGAAAATATGTTGATTTACACCTTATTTTCAATACCATAATGTAAAACAAAAATGGACTTCATTTTATTGATTGACATTGCATTGCAGTGCAGTGCAATAAAATGCAGTTGAATTCTTATATGGTAAACAGTATAAATTAAAAAAATCCACTCATCAGTCAAAAAGGAGTGTTCATTTCTTTTGGATCTTTTGTGCATACCCAAACTAGTCAATCGATAAAAAAAAAAACCAGCAACACGTAACTTTGCGAAAGTCCTTCGACTTAATTACTGATTGTTAATTTTGATTCATATCAAAGAAAACAAAATATTAAAGAATATGAGAATGAAGGAAATGCTCTCTAGTCTAGCTCTTTTTTGAAACTTTTTTTTTTCAAAGCATGAAATGAAAATAAAAGTGTGTGTATTCAATCAGTTTTCAATTCAATTAAGGGAAAAAAATTGGCTAAGTTAATTTTGATTGGACAATTTGGCAGGCATAACAATGTATTGCATTGTATTGCAGCAGTGTGCAGTATGGTGCAATTCTACTTGCTCATACCCAAACTAGTCATTCGATAAAAAAAAAAACAAAAAAACAGCAACACGTAACTTTGCGAAAGTCCTTCGACTTAATTACTGATTGTTAATTTTGATTCATATCAAAGAAAACAAATATTTAAGAATATGAGAATAAAAGAAATGTTCTCTAGTCTATTTTTGAAACTGTTTTTTTTTTCCAAAGCATAAGATGAAAATAAATGTGTGCATTCAATCAGTTTTTAAATTCAATTAAGAAAAAAAAATGACTAAGTTAATTTTGATTTTGACAATTTGGCAGGCATAACATGGTATCGCATTGTATTGCAGCAGAGTGCAGTACGGTGCAATTCTACTTGTATTTAAACAAGCACAATTATTTTACTTGTCAATGTATTAGAAATATTCCCCACCATCCATCCTCCAAAGACAGCTTTTATATACAATTTGTCTTTGTGATTGAATGTTTCTTTGGAAATTTGCATAATGTAAGTTTTGTTTCAAAGTTCGATAACTCAAATTATGTCCCTTTGAACAACGTAGACAAAACGATCATTAATTTCTGCTTTATCTTATGTAAATGTTTAAGCAATGCTAACGAGTAACAGGCTTGTATACTATATATAAGACGTTAGGCAGACGTTCACAAATGACCATGTGTTAAAGTCTGAGTAAATAACGGTAATGTCGCGTGTAAAGGACTTAGTGTGAGCTTATCTCACTAAACAAGTACTGCTAAGCAGTATTGAAAAGCGTCTTTGATTGTTCTACACAGTCATCGGCGCTTTGTTTGAGTCTCAAAATATTCACTCATCAGTCAAACAGGAAAGTTTATATTTTTTCACTGTTTTGCCTAATAATAAAAATTGACCAAGTATGTTTTAATTAGACAGTACATCAAGCATTACAATGCAATGTATTGTAGGACAGTTATATTTTTATTTAAAAGCAAAATGAATGTAGGACAGTTATATTTTTATTTAAAAGCAAAATGAATTAGCTTGCAATTAAAGAACTTCACTCGACACTCCAATTTTCCTCGGGATGTTTCGCATATATCCATATCAGTCTTTCAATTAAAAAAAATCAGCAAAAGTAACTGTTCTTTGATGAGAACTTAGCTCTAAGTACTGTTATCAGAATATATTCTGTTTATCCTTCCTGGTGCTTATCTACATTATACTCTCAAAATTTACACTCATCAGTCAAACATGAAATTTCTCTCATTTTCAATCTTTCATATACCCAAACTAGGCGTTGCATAAAATAATAAACAGCAATGATTGTCCAACAATCCTTCGACATTATTACTGCATTGTTAATTTAGATTCATATGAAGGAGAAGAATCATATAAGAAAATGGGAATGAAAATATTCCATCCAGTCCTTTTTTCAAAACTTTTTTAAAAATAAAAAAAAATATTAGAAAATATGTTGATTTACACCTTATTTTCAATACCATAATGTAAAACAAAAATGGACTTCATTTTATTGATTGACATTGCATTGCAGTGCAATAAAATGCAGTTAAATTCTTATATGGTAAACAGTATAAATTCTCTTGCAAAAAAAATCCACTCATCAGTCAAAAAGGAGTGTTCATTTCTTTTGGATCTTTTGCGCATACCCAAACTAGTCATTCGATAAAAAAAACAAAAAAAACCCAGCAACACGTAACTTTGCGAAAGTCCTTCGACTTAATTACTGATTGTTAATTTTGATTCATATCAAAGAAAACAAAATATTAAAGAATATGAGAATAAAAGAAATGCTCTCTAGTCTAGCTCTTTTTTTGAAACTTTTTTTTTCAAAGCATGAAATGAAAATAAAAGTGTGTGTATTCAATCAGTTTTCAATTCAATTAAGGAAAAAAAATTGACTAAGTTAATTTTGATTGGACAATTTGGCAGGCATAAAAATGTATCGCATTGTATTGCAGCAGTGTGCAGTATGGTGGAATTCTACTTGTATTTAAACAAGCATATTTATTTTACTTGTCAATGTATTAGAAATATTCCCCACCATCCACCCTCCAAAGACAGTTTTTATATACAATTTGTCCTTGATTGAATGTTTCTTTGGAAATTTGAATAATGTAAGGTTTATTTCAAAGACGGGTAGATAAGTAAGGATACTTAATAAATGTGGTAAAAATGACATTCTTCCCAAGGAGTGAAAGCTTCTGTCGTTACTGTACTTCAAGTCCAACTGAGGATGAAATACATTTTTTGCTAGAAGGTCCACTGTATAATGATTCTAGAGGAGAGTTTTAAAACAAAATCTTTTAAACTTTTCGAAATTTAATACTGCTTAATAATGTGGACCTGTTTACATGGATTATGTCAAATGAAGATTCTGAGTTTGTTGTTTTATTATGCCAACATTTAAATGAAAATTTTAATATGAGAAAACAACATAGTACAATATAGGCATATTACAGTCATTATACATATACCATTTTATACATTTTATGCATCCTAAAAGTTGACAGCTAACTCTCTGTTCAATGTACAATTGTTTGTTTTGTTCTGTTTATTGCTGTTTATGACTATGATTTCGGACATTGTTCATCTTTATGCTCCACTGTGGGCCCAAATTGGTTGAATAAATATTCCATTCTATTCAATACTTTTTATCAAAATATGCATCAGTATCATTTTAATTTTTTTTAATATATTAGAAAGTAGGCTAAAGTATGAACCAAGTCCACATATAGGATATAATTCAATATCATACTGAAGCAATTGATACATTTTCATCACTCTGCTCTCTTAGTCTCTAATGAAACCGTTACGAGATCGGGTTTGGTATTCCATAAATATCTTGTGAATCGCAGTTGGTTGTTGTTTTCCCCGATTTTGACAGGGTGGTCACCGTGGAGTATTTAAACAAATTTAACAGCAATGATTGGTTTACTATATAATGGCTGAGAGCGGAGGTAAATTGAGGACGGTGAAAATTACACATTGTTTTTAATGAGCATTTGTTGAGAATCTATTTCATTTTGTGACCTTTTCAGTGGTTGTGTTCTTCATCTCTATAAACCACTGCTGAAGAAAATGTGCAATAATATGGTCAAGAGTGATATTATGAAAAGTGCTAGGATAATGATGTTTTGAAAAAAACAAACTGTGATTGAACCATGTTTTCATGATTATGTTCAAATATTCAGAAAGTCATTATGAGGTCCAGTACAATCAGTACATTTAGCTACGTAGATAAAATTACCTACCGTAGCGTTATTTACCTACCTCATGTAGCTTTATTTAGCTATTTCAAGGCAACTTTTCACAAATTTGCTTCTTATTTCAAAAAGACAAAAAGTCGCAAGTAAATGTCTACGAATATTTATTCTAGGTATTATTTAAAAAGCAATCTAAAGCAGAGATAGTTTTAACATTGCTGCGTTTGTACACTTTTAAGGAAAATATCATTAGATATATATTTCCGTTGTTTGAGTAACTGTACACCACCTTGTGTGTGATAAGGCATGAATAAATAGAGGATATTCAATGTTTTGTAGATGAATATGGAATTTATTTCACGAGTGGGACAGGATTTTTTTTTATATTTTCACGAGTGCGAAGCACGAGTGAAAATATAAAAAAATCCTGTCTCACGAGAGAAATAAATACCATATTCATCTACAAATCATTGAATTTTCTGTTTATTACATTTTCTTTGATGTTCCCTTTGCTTCTGTCTTTTCTTAACACAGTGTCATAGGCTTGACGTCATAGTTGAGCGGTTGAGACGTCATAGCTTAGCAGTTGTGAGATTGAAAACATTACATAGCATGGATTTTAGCAACATATTTGGGAAGGAATTTGCAGTTTTAGCACTATCAAGATGGTGAATTACTATATCTTATGACAGGCCAGAAATTATTTTTTACGTAACAATGGTGTCATTATGATTTCTCTGTACTTTTCAGCATTAATATTATCATTGACAATTGTTAGAATACCTACTCCATTCCAGCAGATTCACCCCCAAACCATTAGACTAACCCTTGCGCCACGGCCGGGACTAATGCATTGCGGCATCCACTCCTCTCTGGGTCTCTGCCACACATATACGGGGTTGCTTTTTCCAATGATCACTTTTCATTCATCAGAAAAAATATAACACGATTCCAGTCACCATCAACTTTCCAATGCCTTTTCCCCCTGGGCCATTCTACTCATTTTTTAAAATTCACATCTCGGATTCATGTTTTTTCTAACAACTCATCTGTGGTATTTATTTCGAAACAAGCATCTTTTCAAAGTTACTTCTGAAACAGTATTTCTCCGAAAATGGTTGAATCTAGCAGTAATTTCCTTCAGAGGTTCAACACGATGTGTTTTTACTAACCTCAAAATTGATCGTTTGTCTTGCACACTTAGTTTTTTTCTATACTTAGTAACATTGTTAAAAAATATTTTTTGTAGATCAAAATCAGGATGTCTTTCAGGAGGAAAGACTGCTGCTGAAACTGGAGACATGTATGCAGATTTACAGCTGGGACTGTGGACTTGCCTGCTGCTGTATGGTGCTAAGGTCCATATATTTTTTTCTTCTTTCTTTTTTAAATCAAGAATGTGGTATGCATAGAGAAAATTAAAGTAAACTAACTATTTTTTGATTGTAGTATTCAGGCGCGGATCCAGAAATTGAAGTTAGAGGGGGCGCCGAAAGTAGGCAGGGGGTCTGGGGGCCGCCCCGAGGCCCCCAAGTGGGTCATGGGTGAAGCCCTGTTGGGGGCCAAGGGGGCGAAGCCCCCAGAAGCTCCTGAATTCTAGAAATTTTGCAGGGTAAAAATGAGGTCTACCGAGTAGACATTTTTACATTTTCTCGACAAAGCTATGATTTTCGCTAACTTTGACAATTTTAGGGGGGTGCACCAGGTGCGTTCCCCCCCCCCCTTAAATCCACCACTGGTATTATCAATCAGGGGTGAGACTGAAATACGTCATTCTGAAAAATGATGGCTAGTCGTCATGTTTATTAACTGCAGTAATTACATTTTTTTATCATTTTTGTCAATCTGACTTACTTGTCATATTTTTATTTTTTACTTTTTTCTTTGTATACCCCAATTATGTACATAGAATGACTAATATTTAAATAAATATGTTGATGAATTCATGCATGAGCTAAACAAATTTAGTATGAACTTTTCACATGTTTTATAATATAGAGAGATAATTTTGTATTACAAACAGTAATAAAAGATATAAGTTAGAATAATGTATTTCTTTAATAATTTCAATTTTTATAAATATTGATTGCTTTTGTCTGTTTATCAAAATAGTTTAGGATTCAAGGAACAGAAAATTGCCAACTTTGACAGACAAAATCCCAATTTGTTCAATAAAGTAATATTTTTTTAAAATACAAAGTCTTCAAACACTTTTAATCTATCATTTAAGAGTGATTTTACATCTTCAAAATGATCCATTACTTTGCACATGCATTTTTGTAAACCTCTACTTTTTGTGTGAAATAAGTACATTTTAAAGCATCGTCACATGCTCATACATGTACTCCCGTTTGGGGGTATAATTTTCTTATTTCCATTTACTCCATTTTGGGGGTTCAACCAGATGGGTACCTCTATCTTAAATTTTCTTTCATTGTCACAACTTTGAATAGTATGTGAGGTACCGCATGTTATACCATATTTTATTGCATTTGCACAAATGATAATATGTACATTTAACTTTTTATCAATGTAGATATTTGGGAAAAGATGATTCCTGTGTTTACACTAGTGATCTTGATGAACTTCAATGTGGTCAAAGGTATGGTCAGATAAATGCTTTTTACGTCATGTTCTCCTTGCAGTTTTTGGCTCACCTGAGCCTTAGGCTTAAAAGAGCTTTTCTGATCGAAATTTGTCCATTGTCATTGTTGTAGACTTTTCACATTTTCATCTTCTCCATAACCACTGGGCCATTTTCAACCAAATTTAGCGCAGAGTATCCTTGTGTAAAGGGGATTCAAGTTTTTCAAATGAAGTGTCACACCCTTTGCCAAGGGGAGATAATTAAGAAATAGTGAAAATTGGTTGGGGCAATTTAAAAATCTTCTTAACAAGAACCAGTGGGAAATAAAAGATGAAACTTATGTGAAAGCTTTTTTGGGGTAGGTTAGATTCAAATTTGTTCAAATCTCAATCATTTAGGGTAGGGTAGGGCCACTATGGGCGATTAAAGTTTTACATAGGAATGCATAGGGAAATACTGGTACTTTAAAATTCATTTCTGAAGAACAGCAAGGTCTGTATTAGTCATATTTAGAAGGAAGCATCCTCAACTAGTTTAGATTCAGTTTTATTCAAATCATGATCCCCGGATGCTAGTATGGGGCCAACCGAAGTTTTGCATAGGAATACATAGGGAAAATCTCTAAAATACATCTCAAGAACAGAATAGTCATGATTAGTCATACTGTTTACAGGATTATTTTCGCCCTTTCACAATTGAAAACAATTTTGCTCCATTTTAAATTTGCCTAGTCATAGTTCTGTTTAAGAAATTTTACTGTTTTCTTTGAATTCACAGTCTTAAATTTTCCCACTTGTGCCTAGGTCGAAAGGGGCAAAAATAAATTGGTGGCAAAAATCCCCTGTATACAGTATTTATATAGAAGCATTCTCAAGTAGTGTAGATTCAAGTTTGTTCAAATCATGACTCAGGGAGGTAGGATGGGACCACTATGGGTAATTAAAGTTTTACATAGGAATGCATATGGAAAATCTAGTAAATTCTTCTGAAGAACAGAAGGTCAATAGTCAATTAGTCAATATTTAGAAAAAAGCAATCTTGTAGATTCAAATTTTTTCAAAATCATAACCCCCTGGGGTAGGGTGTGGCCTATATGGGTGATCAGAATTTTACATAGGAATGCATAGGAAAAATCTTTAAAATTCTTCTTTTCAAAATCAACAATGTCATGATTAATCTTTTATATGAAAGCATCTTCAGGTAATGTAGCTTCAGTTTTGTGAACTTTAGAAACTATTATTTGATTGCATTTGATTATGCAAGAATTAGCCCAATGCCAAAGACAGATTAACTTGTGATTTATTAAATAATTTAACTTTTTTGTGCGCATTAATTATACACTTTTTTCAATGGATGGCACTGTAGCTCTCCGGTCCCAATTTTTTTCAGACCAGCAAGCTACATATTTGCAGCAAATTTTACATAGATATATATAAGGGATAAATCTGCTGATAAAGGGCCATAGTTTATTAGTTACTCAGGTGAGCATTGTGGCCCATGGGTCTCTTGTTAATATTGTTTTTATCAATACATGTATATCATATAACACCTATATAATCTTAAAAGCTTATTATTTATAATTGATTTCCCTTTCAGACTTAATATTGTACAATTCAGTGTGATTGTTTGACACACTTCACTGAAGACCTTATATATGTCATAAATGTATTATAATGCTAACATGCAGCAGCATAAAATAAATATTGGCAGACAATGCTTTTTCTTGGACAGTAGTGATAGGTGAAAGGTTGATTCTCACACCTGAGTAAGAACACCTGTAAAACATATATCAACTTGTGGCTTACACACCTGTACATATACTACATACATGTATAGAAGATTAACAAAAAACCTGATACAGAAATGATATTCAAATTTTATTTAAGGAATAACTGTCTAGTTTTTTTGTTTTATGATGTGATCAATCAATTTGCTCGCGTGATAATTTGCATAAATGCCGAAGGTGTTTATGCGTAAAAGTATCACACAAGCAAATTGATTGATCATCATCATAAAGCCAAAAAACCAGACAGTTATTCCTTATATTTTTATTTTTACCTGATCCTTGATTCAATAAAAAAAATCAATAAGAAATCTCAGCATCCCTGCCGGGTGTATTTCTAAGCAACACGCAGCAAAAAAGCATGCAGTTCTGTCACATGCTGAGCAAATCGCTTTATGGGGTTATAAAGCCATTACTTATTTGTAGTTTTATCTCGGAGAAAGACATTGGAAAATGTAAATATTAAAGTTGGATTGTTTTAACTAAAGTATGATTTTGTTGTTATTGTTTCAGTATATGGACAATTGATTTGGGATACCTTTTACTTAAGTACAAAGTCAGGGTAGAGTTCTCCACAGTTACCTTGGGTGTGGATGACCAGTATGCCAGAAAGGTGATGATGCATGCATACAATAATGATCATTACTAAGTTGTTATTTAACATCTTACTAAAACTTTCATGAGCAACCTTTATCATTGATAGAATTTGTTTTTGCAAAATGATGGATTTACTAGGTATTTTAGAACATCTTATTTAGATGTACCTTAAATTGTTATGAATTATTATAGTAGAAGTGTTGTTCTTGATATCGTAATAAATAGATAATTGGTAATGTGATTTTACTAGTACCAGTAAAAATTCTGGTTAAAATTACTTGCCTCAGATTCTCCAGAAAACAAAATGTTTTGTGTATGAAATAAATATTTTTGTTCTCAATATTTTCAAGAGGCTTAAAAATCCAGGGGTAGATTTTATTTACAAAATTTTACCTCATGTGAGATTAAGCAAAATATTTATAAAAAAATGGCATAGTGATATAAATAACTTATCAAAAGGTCAAACTTAAAAATTTTGAATAGTGATTTTGGATGTGAACTTATCAAGTAAACTTTGAAAAATACTGATAAAATTTAGAACTTAAAACCACCACCTTCTAATTGAGACTTGCGATGGTCAAATATTCCTATCCAATGGATGAAAGACTGTACATTAAGTAAATCAGGTCAAGTAGCAGACAAATTCCATAATTTCATTTTAGAAAATAAACCACTGAGTAGTATAAGGAAGAACCTTTTACATCTCAGATTTTGTAAAATGCCAAATACACTTAAATTTACTGAAATTTTGTCAACCACAAATTTTAAATCCTTAAAAAATCACTGTATATTCATATCTAAAATAAAAAATGCAGTGTGACCTCCATAATTTATATATCTTCATTTCTTTTCTTTATGTTTTCTTTGTGTTTGTTCCTGTATTTTGTACACGTACTGTATACAGGGTTATTTTCGTCCCATGTATTTTTTTTGCCCTTTCTCACTTGCAAACAATTTTGCCCCATTTTAATTTTGCCTAGTTACAATTTTGTTAAAGAAATTATACTGTGTTTTTTGAATTTGTCCCATTTTAAATTCGCCCACCTGTGAGTAGGGAGAAAGGGGCAAAAAATTAAATGGGGGCTAAAATTTCCCTGTATACAGTGTATGTGTCATTTATGTATTGTATCATACATTTAGTTTTTCTTTCACAATTGAACGAGGACGACATAATACACTGTATCTCATGTACCACTGATTGTTTGTTTAAGTGTAATAAATGAACTTGAACTTGTTTTTTAGCCATTCTATATGCGCAATTTTGACAAAGATGCTGAAAGGGTTAGCAAAAAGTTTGCAGAGGCTTCCCAATCAGGACTTGATGTTTCCAAAAGGTCATGATTATTTTATTCTTAAGCAACATAAATGAATTTTTTAAAACAAATCTAGATAATTATGTCTCTCTCCAGTAATAAAAGTCCAGTTTTGGCATCATAGGATATAAATGTAAGATAGTAAACATTACTACATGTATGTAAAATTTTGTCGCATAAGTGAAAAAGAACACACATTTAGAACAATGATTTTGGATTTTGTAATAACCATTTTGTAATGCATGGTGTGTATGAAAAAATTTAACATTTGAGTCTCTGTCATCAGGTCTTTAAGCATAAAAGACATTGTGAATCATCTATCAGGGGGGAACCTGCTCATCTGCCTGGTTGATTGGAGCTCACTGGAGTGTATCTGGTGTGACAGGGTGGTGTGTATATTCATCACAATGGCTTTTTTCATTCTGTATAATAAACTTCTATGGATTTTTCATACTTGTACCTTTCAATGAATGAAATAGCTACTATTGGTAGTAAAGTGTTAAACATCAAGATGTTTCTTTGATTGTAAAGAACCAGTAGTATTTATCTCTTAAATTCCTTCTTACATGTGTGTACTTGAGGAACTCTGTACAGACTAACAGCTTATTTCAGAGCAAATTATATAGATTAGAATAGGTTATATTATATTATTATTGATAAATATTATCAGTTTTTTAGCTCACCTCAACGAAGTTGGGGGAGCTTACGTAATACCCTCGGCGTCGGCGTCCCAGGTTAAGGTTTTTGGAGCAGTTTTCTTTTCAAGTACTTCTATGGTCTATATTAGTCAGAGATGCATGGAGGATGCTTCTAGTGTGTTTTATTGTACCAGTCAAGGTTTCAGATGCTGCAATTTCAGCTAAAGAATGACCAGGTTAATGTTTTTGGAGCAGGTTAAAGTTTTTGGAGCAGGTCTCATTTCCAAGTAACAATAAGCCCAATATTGACCAAACTTGCATGGATGATACATCTGAGGATGCACACTACTGAACTTGCTTCGGATGCTGGATCTGACCTAGATTTTCCGGATGAGTGACTAGGTTAAAGTTTTTGGAGTAGATCTCATTTCCAAGTAACTATAAACCCTATATTGACCAAACTTGCATGGATGATACATCTAAGGATGCACACTACTGGACTTGCTTCGGATGCTGGATCTGACCTATATTTTTCGGATGAGTGACCAGGTTAAGGATTTTGGAGCAGATCTCATTTCCAAGTAACTATAGGCCCTATATTGACCAAACTTGCATGGATGATACATCTAAGGATGCACACTACTGGACTTGCTTTGGATGCTGAATCTGACCTATATTTTTCGGATGAGTGACCAGGTTTAAGTTTTTGGAGCAGATGTCATCTCCAAGTATTTTAAACCCTATATTGACCAAACTTACATGGATGATCCATCAAGGGACGAACAATCTCAAAACTTGCTTCGGATGCTGGATTTGACTTACATTTTCTGGATGAGTGACTAGTTTTCAGTTTTCAGGTAAGTCTATTCCCAAGTAACTGCAAGCCCTATCAGACCAAAATTGCATAAATGTTGTATCTAGGGATGCACACTCCTAGATTATTAGTGTAGTGTGGGACTTTGCCTTACTTAAAGACAACATTCGTTGAGGTGAGCTCTGTAATCTCTGATTACCTATGTTTTATATATGTATTTACAGAAGCAACACTGTTTAAACTGGTGTGGACATTGTTGCAGAACATATCAGGGTAAAAGCAATAAAAAATACTCTCTTGAATAAATAGCTTAAAAATTAAAGCTCATTTAAAATAGACCTGACGTATTAAAAATATTAAAAACATAAAAAAAGTATTAAAAACATTAGACTATCTCACTGTAAAAGAAAGTTATTAATTTTTTGTAGGTCACTATGTTGTGGTGTGTGGATTTGACTTGAAAAAGAAATATATATTTTACAAAAATCCTTCCTATGATGAAGGTAGGTTTTTCTCAACAATAAACAGTTTATAAGAAAAGCAGATATACTGTAAACCAACTATTATTCATGTCATCTTTTATTCTGGGGTAGTCCGTTTAAAATCAATCCGCAACGATTAATTTTCGCAACTGAGGAAACATTCACTGCATTGAAATACAAAGCAAAATAAATGGTTCGCGGCGATTAATATTCGTGAGTTAAATAGGTTGCGAAACTCGCTGATATTTCTCACAAGCGAATAAAGTTGGTTTACAGTAGCTTAAGGAAAGCCAACATTGCTCATTATTACATGTTTTGCAAATGCAATTTCTTTATCATTGTAATGAGACTGTGAAATTATTTTGTATTCTTTGGAGAAATGTCTATGTCATTTCGGCTTGTTGTAAGTCTGGTACATCAAATTTTCATGACTTCTTATTTTCCTGATAAGTTATTTTGATATTCATGAGCGAGACAAAATTTGTATGTCTTTTAGTTATTGCTGTATTTTCAGATAATCTTTAATAACATAAATACGGTATATCTGAGAATGAAATTTTTGTGAGTAGATGGTCTCGTGTTTTTACATGAAAATAAAGTTCTCTTGAATTAAAACAGATTTTACAGTATACATATCACAAACATGTAGTTACTTCCTGTTTTATGTACAGTAAAGGGATTTATAAAGTCGTTAGCAATCCATCCAGCCACATGAATGTGAATGCATGTATTACTCAATACAGGGAAATCTTTGTGCCACATTAATTTTAATCCTTTGTGCTGTTGTAATTGAACAAATTTAAATCGGGGCAAATTCAAAGAAGACAAGAATTATGGCATCTCTTTTGCACAACTTTAAATTAGGGCAAAATCACAAGTATGATAGGGTGAAAAAATATGGGACAAAGAGAACCCTAAATATAGTATTTACAGATACATGTATATACTTGTATGTATATGTATTTATCAATGCAACAACAAATATTTTGTGTTGATGCAACATTTACTTGAAAATGTTTATTTCTTGAGTCATCATTTATTTCTCAACCATTTTTAAGCTGTCTGTAAAATGAACAAGAAAAATTACAGCAAAGTTAAACAAAATAAACCTTTCTATAATGGCATCAAATAACATTTTGTTTACTGGGTGATGTGAGGAAGCGCACATTTGCCAGTATATTATTTGTCATGAGATTTATCTAATACTGTAAAGTGTTATCTTTTAGAGGTGTAAGTAACGTAAAGAGAGAAAAAAATGCTTTTAAATGTATATACAGAACTATTTTAAAGCTGTCTGACATTTACATTGGTAGATGTGTGCTGTTCCCGGATGGACAAGTTTGACAAAGCTCGCAAGAGCCATGGTACAGATGAAGACATTCTGCTCATATATAAACAACAAAGTAAGGGGGATCACACCTTCAGATCCTAGGTCTCTGAATGGACTTCAGTGTTGTTTTTTCCCAGCTAGTATGGACATTCTTTTCCCCTTATTTATGTAGTTAAATATGTGTCTAATTCATTTTTTTTTTCAAAACCATTAAAATTAGGAGGAAGTTTTTAGCTCACTTGAGCCGAAGGCTTAAGTGAGCTTTTTTGATCAAAATTTGTCCGTTGTCTTTGGTGTCGTTGTTGTTGTAAACTTTTTACAATTTCGTCTTCTTCTGCAGAACCACTAGGCTAATTTCAATCCTACTTTGCAGAGTATCCTTGGGTAAAGGGGATTCAAGTTTGTTCAAATGAAGGGCCCACACCTTCTTCCAAGGGGAGATACCTGTAATTAAGAAAAAGTGAAAAATTGGGTGGGGTCATTTTAAAATCTTCTTTTCAAGAAACACTTGGCCTAAAAAGATGAAACTTATGTGAATGCTTTCTGACATTGTGTAGATTCAAGTTTGTGCAAATCATGACCCCCTGGACTAGGGTGGGGTCACAATGGGCAAACAAAGTTTTACAAAGGAATATATAGGAAAAGTTTCTAAAATTCTTCTTCTCAAGAACAGCAGATGGTTAGTCATATTAATATGGAAGCATCCTCAGATAGTGTATATTCAGGTTTGTTCAAATCATGACCCCAGGGAATAAGGTTGGGCCACAGTGGGCAATAAAAGTTTTACATACATGTAGGTATACATAGGAAAAAATCTTTATAAATCTTTTTCTGAAGAACAGCAAAGCCATGACTAATCATATTTATATGAAAGCATCCTCAGGTAGCATAAATTCAAGTTCTTCAAATCATGATCCCTGGGGGTAGGGTTGGGCCCCAATGGGCAATAAAAGTTTTACCTAGGTATACATAGGAAATATCTTTAAAAATCCTCTTCCTAAGAACAGCAAATCCATGACTAGTCATATTAATTCAGAAACATTCTTTGGTAGTGTAGATTCATGTTTGTTCAAATTATGTTCCCCGGGGTTAGGGGAGAGCCACAATAGAAGATCAAACATATAGAATAAAATCTTCTAAAGCCTTGATTATTCAAAGAAATATTGAAGCATCCTCAGTTAATGTAGATTCAAAAGTGAACAAATCATACCCCTCCCCTTTCCACAGGGAGTGGGATGGGGTGGGGGGATATTTGTAATCACTTATATATTTAATCTTTTCAATACTGCTGCTTTTTCCTAGCCAATGTGCTCGGGTGAGTGATGTGGCCTATGGGCCTCTTCTTTTTTTTTCTTTTAATTGTGGTATATGGTATTATTATGGAAATGTGCTCAAAATGTATTTGAAACAAGAAAAATAATTGAAAATATTTAACTTTACATCTTTGACTTGAAGTTGTAGAGGTCTTCTTTTTTCAACAACTTCAGGTACATGTACTTACCTGAAAATAAATTAAACTAGTAGATTTATTTGAAATTTTTTTTAATTTGTAAAATATGGTATTATTTTGGAAATGTGCTCAAAATGTATTTGAAACATGAGAAATAATTTAAAATATATAATTTTACTCCTTGAACTTGAAATGATATTGTAGAGGTCTTGTTTGTCTACAACTTCATGTTCTGTCATGAAAATTAAACCTGCAGATTTAGATGAAGTGTAGCAGTATTTGTTGATGGGTTACATATTTATTATTTATCATCAAAATTGCTTGTATGTCAGATTGATATTTTCATGATTATTTTACTATGCATTATTATAAAAGCATAATTATGCTAGTCTTCAAGTGTCTTATTTAACAGAATTTTAACAATTGTGTTCACAAACAGTTGTATGTAGAAATGATTTTGTGATTTCAATGATATATAGTATATTGTCTGTACTTAAAGTCAACATGCAACCAATTGATACCTCAATTGCTTTATGCGAATTGTACCAACTTACAATAGACAAAAATTGATTCAGTTTACACTTGAGAAGGAATAAATGGAATATGTACATGTACACGTATTTCACTTGAGTTGCTGATTGAAAGAAAAAGTGTTTTTGTTCCCAGTGACTTAACTTTTCATATATTTTCACCTCCTTTTACTTTTACAGTAATTTTGCAAAGTAAGAAATGATAAAAAAGGGCATATGTTAAAAGTAATTTTTGTGAGATACTTCATCTGCGTTCATCAAAGCTGATTTGAAAAATCAAGTTCAAAAATGCTTAGAACTTTCCAATTACATGTATTATAATAGTTATACATGCAAGTCTTGATGGCGAGTTATTAATAAGATCCCACAACTGTTTTCCCTAAGTTTACTACACAGACACTTGATGTTTTAAACCTTTCTCTTTATTGATAAAAATATTATTATAGTATGGGAATATTTTTATCAATAAAGAAAAAGGTTTAAAGTGTCAAGTTCCTGTGGTTTAGTATTAGGTAAATGATTCTCATAGTTTGTACAGTGTAGTATCATCACCGTAATTATTTTATATATTCTTTTTACATAATTTAAACAAAAACGTATGCAAAATACATGTACATGTAGTACTTGTTGAATTCAGTAAATTGTTTTGCCAAACTTGAAAAGGAGGAAAAGAGCTGGAGAAGTCGGGTTGTGATGATTTCAAAATTATATTTTTGTATAAAGCAGATGTCTTTATTTGTTGCTTCTGTATGATATGTACTTTTATTGCTAATAAATATATGGCCGAGTTCAACATAACTTTTTGATTGATTATTTTATTATTTGGCATATCAAATCTTTAATGATCAACCTTTAGATTGTTTCTTGACAATACCGTATAAATAATATTACCCGCTTATATGGGCTAGGTATTTTTTCTGCAACAGCTGCAACATTAATTCCCGTACTACGAACCAAAGAGAGCATTTTTATGCCCCCATATCAAAGATTCGGGGAAGATTCGGGGGTATATAGTTTTTGCCCTGTCCATCCGTCTATCTGTCTGTTTGTCTGCAAAAACTTTAACATTGCTCATAACTTTTGATTGGTTGAAGCTATGGCTATCATATTTCACATGTGTATTCCTTGTGACAAGACCTTTCTTTGGGTACCATCATTTTTGACCTTGACCTTGGAGTTTGACCCAGTTATACAAAATTTTTCCCAACTTTATCCTTGGCCATAACTTTTCAATGGTTGGTGCTAGGGCTTTAATACTTCACATGTGTAATCCTTGTGACAAGACCTTCCTTTGGATACTAACAACTTTGACCCTTTGACCTTGACCTTGGAGTTCGACCTATTTTGAAAAACTTTAACATTGGCTATAACTTTTGAACGGTTGATGCTAGGGCTCTCATATTTCATATGTGTAATCCTTGTGACAAGACCCTCCTTTGGATACCAACAATTTTGACCTTTGACTTTGGAGTTTGACCTTCTTTTGAAGAACTTTAACATTGGCCATATCTTTTGAACGGTTGACACCAGGGCTCTCATATTTCACATGTGTAATCCTTGTGACAAGACCTTCCTCTGGATACCAACAACTTTGACCCTTTGACCTTGACCTTGGGGTTTGACCTACTTTTGAAAAACTTTAACATTATATTGGCCAAATCTTTTGAACGGTTGGTGCTAGGGCTTTCATTCTTCACATATGTTATCCTTGTGACAAGACCTTCCTTTGGATACCTACAATTATAGCCCATTGACCTTGACCTTGGAGTTTTACCTACTTTTGAAAAACTTTAACCTTGGCCATATCTTTTAAATGGTTGGTGTTAGGGCTTTCACATTTCACGTGTATTTCTTGTGAAAAGGACTTTCCTTGGGCACCATTAATTTTTACTTGACCTTGATGTTTGACTTACTTTTGAAAAATTTTAACCTTTTCCATATCTTTTCAATGGTTGCTGCTAGGGCTTTCATATTTTACAAGTAGTCAAGTATATTCCTTGGTACAAGACCTTACTTTGGGTACCAACATATTTGATTTGCATTTGAGAAAGTTTAACCTTCGCTATAAGTTGCCATACGGGGGCATCAGTGCTTCACAAACACATCTTGTATTTTTTAAGTAATACAAATGCAATATAGGCTCATTTTGAGAAGGTAAATAAATAAAAATATTTTACTCGTTATAACGAGTTAATATCTCATGAAACAAAATCTCATTACAAGTTACCTCGTTGTAATGAATAAAAATCTCTTTATAACGAATAAATATCTTGTTATAACGAGTAAACATCCCGTTATAACGAGTAAACATCTTGTGATAACCATATAACTAACTCGGTATAACAATATAGCTCACTTGTAATAAGGAGTTAATAATCTCCCTATAACGAAATAATGTTTACTTCATTTTACTATTTTAACAAGCTAATTCAGAGAATTTGTGTCCTCGCTTAGGGAAAAAAGAAGATCATGCGTAGTTCGGGGGAGGGGGGTGTCGGACCCCCCCCCCCCCGGATTTGTAAAATTATTAAATGTATACATGTATATTTAAGCATATAAAAATGCCAATATGGATATAAAGATTTGATTGCTTATTCTTTAACATGTGTATTGAAGATTCTTTTTATATAGAATATTTACCACACTGTAATAATGATTTACATATGAGAAGTTTGTACACACCAGACCGTCCAGACGTCATAACTTTTTTCATTTCATATGTTGAATAATTAGGGGGGTGGGGGGTCGTGCGGGATTTGAACCCGGGACCTCTCATTTGCCAAGCAAGAATCATACCTCTAGACCAAAGAGGAGGAATAACAAAATCTTCTTTACACATATTAAAGAATAAACAATCAAATCTATATATCCATATTGGCATTTTTAATTTGCTTTAGTATACATGTATACATTTAATAATTCTGCAAATCTGAGTGATCTTAATTAAGCAACCAATACAGATTTTAAACCTCGATATTTGATTAAATGCTAGATTTATTACCTAGACAGCTGGTAGCGCACTATTCCTAAGTAGAAAGTACATTGTAGCATCCACGTTATAAATAATTCTCGAATTTCTTGAAACCATTCTATTAGATTGTACTTAGGAGAGATCCCATATTGTAATATTGTTAACTTGCCTGGGATACAAAACGGTTTTATGCCTTATGATTGATCTGTCTGTTAACCTCAATCAAAAGGTCATACTAGTTCATGTCCTTACTGCAAGCATAGATACTTTCACGAAAATATATGCATCTTTTAAATTACTGAAATACTTGAAATACAAATCTTTTTAAACTTGGTTCTCAAAATATTTGCCAAGCTCCTTGCAAAAGAATTTAATATCTGATTGGTGCTAGATCAAATCATTTTACATCGGGTCTCCCTGTCAATATGTGTCCGGTTTTTAGCTCACCTGAGCTGAAAGCTCAAGTGAGCTTTTCTCATCACATTTTGTCTGTAGTCCGTCCGTCTGTCTGTCCGTCTGTCCGTCCGTCTGTCTGTAAACTTTTCACATTTTCGACT